TGTAAGCAACTGATATAAAAGGCAGACATAGAGGCCTGTGTTTGTCCCAAGGCCAAATGAAATAACATGTATAATCTTGTTTTTTTTTATAGTCCTTACACACAGGTGCACAGACACACATGCATAAACATCACACACAAACACACACACTCATTACGCCAAGAAAGTTAAAATATGCAGGCAATGACCTCCCATCCTGGGTCTGTCCACCTCGGGCCTCCATCCCGCCCTGCAGTAGCCACTATCTCGTTGCTATGACTCCACACGTGAGAAGAAGCACCTCAAGGCAGGGAGATCTGCTTTGTCTGACAGCAGGAGGGATGCAGTCCATCATGGTGGGGAAGGCATGGCAGCCAGAGTGGCTTGCGGCTGTGGTAGGTGGAACCTGTGGTCTTGCTTGTTCACGTCTGGGCTGCCCACCAGGAAACACACAGAGAGGCTTAGATTAGAAGTGGGCAAAACTGTAACCCACAAAGCCCGCCTCCTCGCCTGTGTCTTCCTCCAGAAAAGCCCCACCTCCCACAGTTTCCTCAGACTCCCAAAACAGAGCTGCCATCTGGAGACCAAGTGTCAAAGTACACGAACAAATCGGGGACATTGTCTATCTGAACCTAACAGCCCCTGACTTTCAGAGGGTCCCAGACAGCCTAGGATACTCTCTAAAATATCATCTGACTGAATAGATGGGTAGAATAAATGAAATTCGAGACAGATGCTGCCATAATTTAGACACATGTCCCCAAAGGCCATGTGTTAAAGGCTTGGTCCCCAGGAGGGCACTATCGGGAATTTATACAACCTTTGAGAGTTGGGGCCTGATGGGGAATCATTAGGTCACTGGAGACCTGCTTTGGGAAGGAACTGTAAGACACAGTTCTCTTTGCTCCCTGGTTCATCAGGTTAGTGGCTTCGTTGACCACACCCCTACCTGATGAGCTATACCTCACCACAGAACAAAAGTGGAGCCTGACAATCACCAACTGAAACTCCCAAACTCAACCAAAAGAAACCTTTTCCCTCCTGGATGGTTTTGAGCTTGGACATCACGTTATAGTCACAGAAAGCTGACCAACACGGGTACTCCCCGTTCCGGTGCCATTGTGTGCCTCAGAGAACACACATGGGGAGGGAAATCCAAGACGAAGGGAACCAGAGGGTCTCATTCCTCTTCATGCTTGCGAGCTCCAGGACATCCAGGGCTATACAGAGAAACCCTGCCTCAAGAAACAAAATAAGGGCTGGAGAGATGGCTCAGAGTTTAAGAGCACTGATTGTTCTCCCAGAGATCCTGAGTTCAATTCCCAGCAACCACATGGTGGCTCACAACCATCTGTAACGAAATCTGGTGCCCTCTTCTGGCCTGCAGGCATACATGCAGACAGAACACTATATATAATAAATAAATCTTTTAAAAAAATAAGAAAGAAAATAATAACAATAATAATACTAATAGAGGAACACACATCTAGGTAGCTTTTACATATTTTAAAACCATCCGAGAGCTAAGTTAACAATAAGAAATAGACAGTCTTGGTTTCTCTCTCAGTTACCGTGACAAAACATCCTGACAAAGCCACTTAGATGAAAAGGGTGCACCTCGGCTCCCAGGTCCAGGTCACAGTCCAACACAGCGGGTGGGGACATCACAGCAGTAGGGGCTGGAGGCAGCTGCCCATCACACTGCAGTCAGAAGAAGAGAGCGATGAACGCATGCTCAGCTCCACCTCTCCATCTGATACAGTCCAGGATGCCGGCCCAGGGAGTGCTCCCATCCCAGCTAAGATGGAAGGTCTGCCCACACCCTCCCAAGCATGCCCAGGGGCCCATCTCCCAGGTGATTCTAGATTTTGTCAAGTTGAAAATTAACACCGACCATCACTTAGCTCCAAGTCACATTTAAAGTGTAAAAATCTGTGTATGAGAGTCCAAGCCTGTAGCCTGGGTTACTTGGGAGGATGAGGTAGGAGGCTTGCAAACTCAAGGCCTGAGAGTGTGGAGGGATGGAGTGGTGGAGGTGGGGCGAATCTCTGGGGTAGAATGCCTGCCGTTCAGTGCCTGAAGATCAATACTCAGAGAGCAAGCCTGCAGTACAGGCATGTGTGCACACACACACACACACACACACACAGAGAGAGAGAGAGAGAGAGAGAGAGAGAGAGAGAGAGAGAGAGAGAGAGAGAATATCAAGCAATAAAAACTGGAAAAAGAGCAAGATGACTTACCATTGACAGAGTCCCGGCCGTCACTGCAGCAATGTGGCGTAAAGAAGAAATTTACCTCAGAAGTAATAACAACTTTTAGTCAATATTTGAAAGGAGCTCATTCTACTAGAAAGAAAATGCAAATTAAGAGAATATAATACTTTTTCTTGGCAAACTGATGATTTTTTTTTTAAACTAAAGCACCTATTGCTGAAGATGTAGGGAAACGTTGCCTTCACACACAGGGGCACGGCACATTTCCGTATCAGGGAGCGTGAATAAGCATGCCCCTGAATTTATCCCCATGTGTGCACAGGCATGTCCTACATTCGGCCCTGTGGTGTATACATAAGTGTGTCCTTGCATTTATTCCCGTGGTATGTGTGTAGGCATGTCCCTGCATTTAGCTCTGTGGTGTGCTTATAAGCGTGTCTTGCATTCAGCCCTGTGGTGTATACGTAAATGTGTTCCTGTGACGTGTGCACAGGTATGTCCCTGCATTTAGCAGGCAGCACGGCTGAGGCCTGTGTGTGTCATGTGATTCTGAGAACCCCTCAGTGACTGAAGCACGCTATGTTCTGACCCTGTGGTACCAGTGCTAGCACGCAAAAACAGAGGCCAACCAAGAGGCCACACCAGAATGACAGATGCTAGGAAGAATAGAGACTCCCAACTCAGGAGTGCTGTTCAGGTCACATGATGCCATGGCTGTGGAGCACCCCAAGACGGGGGAGTTTTCCAGTGGGCATAAGCAGTGTAAAAACCTTGGGGTACGAGGAACCACCATGGGATGTAGAGACCTGGAAGGCTAAAAGAGAGAGAGAGAACCTCATGCTGGATAGCTTCCCGGGAGGAGTGAACTTGGCCAGGGAAGGTGCTGGCACTTTGTAGCCATGCCTGGACAGAGGTCAGGACACACAGGGAACTGAGGTGATTCACTGTGTGATGTGGATGCCGAAGCTAAGCTGGCCCGAAGGCCTGGCCTCACAGGAGCTGAAGTCAGTTCTGCTCAGATTTGGGGAAACAAATAGAGAATTGGTGACTGGGGATGAGTGACAGATGGGGACAGCCTGGGCTCCCAGAAGAGTCTGAGACTAGAGGGAGGACCATGAGCTCAATGCTGGACATGTTCCACTTGAGCAATCAGAGTCCTGCAAGGCCACAACTGGAGGCACCTGGGCTGGGGTCCTGGACACCTGTCTGGTTGACTCTACCAGAGACCCTGCTTCTTAGCATGATGGGCTCCATGCTTCTAGGCATGATGGGCTCCACACATGTAAAACCCCCTGACCTTTGTGCAGGTCCACCTTCCCTGCCTACTGACTAGGGACAGTTGTGCAAGCTTACAATGAGCAATAATGATCTCAAGGCCAGCAAGCAGCTACAGGATGGGGAACCATACAACTTCACACACAAGCTCACACACTTGTACAAGCCTCTGCAACTCTCGGTCCCTCAGGCTGTTCTGGGAGGGGATGACCATCCCTAAGGGCCCTTCTGAGCATAAACTGACCAGGAACCCAATTTCTGAGTGATTTGACCTCTCAGAGGGTTTTCCCAAAGGACTGTGATGATGTTTCCCAACTGAGGAGGTCAGAAGGAATTTGAGAAAGGTTCACGGACAGACTGAGGTCAAGAGTTCCCTGGGTGACATCATACAGAAGGACAAACTCAGGCACTGGAGTAAAAGAGCAATTTCAGAACTTTGTGGCCAATCAAGATGTCAGTATCACCAGTAGATTGTTTTATTACATTCAGCAAGGAGTAGGGGACGACCTGTGGTATTCACAGACCCTGTGGAGCTTTGAAGTGACCAGTAGAAGGCACAGATCACCCTTGCTTGGATCTACTTCAGGGCCTATGCTCCTAGAGGGCCTTACAGAGTCCTGTGGGGCACAGAACTAGAAGTTTCTAGAATCTCAACCCAGCATATTCATGCAGCCAAGGACAGCCATGAATGCAGCCCAACATAGAATCAGTCAGAAGCTTTAAATATTAAGGGGTTGAACCATATGTTTTGTGACCTGACCACATGGTTCTGGACTGTGAACTTCGTAAATGGCAGTATCATACCGGAAGGTAAAATGTTGGACACATCGTTTAGACTGTGTTCTGAGTTGCTTGCCCATTTCCAGAGTTCTGAGTCCTAGAGCCATTTCCAGAGCCTGGGGACCTGTAGCCTTGCTCGGCTCCAGTTCCTAAGGATGATCACCTCTTGGGTGGTTCAGAGGCCCCCGAAGCTGAGGACAAAGACAGAGAGAACCCATGAGCTGCTGACTGGAGGCAGTGGGAAGGGAGGGGGCTGGAGGGGAAGGACTGCCCAGCAATGCTGGCTTTCCCCATGCACGGTCTGGCCTGAAGCCCTGAGGAGCCTTCAGAGCTGAACTCAAACCCTGACTTTCAGATCAAAAGCTATATTTATTTTGGTGGGAAATTGAAAATATTTCAATGAATATTTTGCTGACACATATACAGCTTCAATTTCTAGGCTTCCAGGAGTTCTCCAGATCCAGGCCCTGTAAATATGGGGGGGGGTTCCATGGCTAGGGTGTATTACACCCTCTGTTTAGCCTTCTAGGGAGGCAGAGCTAGATCAGCCCTGTCACTCAGGAACTCTCAATGTCCACGTCTGTAAAATGGGGACAGTAATGGCTGCCACCTTTGGAATAGAATTAAATGACAGGATAGACAGTGATCCTGGCATAGCTTTGTGACGGGCACACAGCCGATTCCGAAGGGTACCGGTGTCCCTGGAGTCGCTGCTGTAACTTGATATTCCCCACCCCGTTGCTCTTCCAGACTCCACAGCAATACGAAAGAGAATACAACAGCAAGCGCTCAGGTGTGGGGCCCAGCAAGTTCCACGGGTACGCCTATGATGGCATCTGGGTCATCGCCAAGACACTGCAGAGGGCCATGGAGACCCTGCATGCCAGCAGCAGGCACCAGCGGATCCAGGACTTCAACTACACAGACCACACGCTGGGCAGGATCATCCTCAATGCCATGAACGAAACCAACTTCTTCGGGGTCACGGTCAGTTCCCAAGCCTCATGGGCTCTTTGCCTACTGCCCTCTGGGGTCATGCAAGGCCAGAAGAGGGGCTGCCAAGCACCTGCCAGTGTGTGTTTTCTTCTCTGGGTAACGGAAGGAACTTCCTGGGAATATTGGAAGGAGGTGTGGGGTGGGTAGGCTCTTTCACGGGGGAAACAACCTCCATGACTCACCAAGAAGAAAGGATAGGTGTCTGCAAGGGTGGGTGTGCTCTACCAAGCTGTGGATGGAGTGGGCCAAATTCAAGTTCAAATCCTGCGTCTTTACTTATGAGTGGGGTGACTTTCTTTGAACTACAGACTTTTCATTCACAAAATGAGGACAACGTTTCTCTTTACAAAGTAGTTAAAGATTAGTCCTTGTGTTGGGCCTGGAGGTGTAGCCCTGTAATCCTAGCTACTTGAGAGGCTGAGGTAAGAAGTTCTCAAGTTCAAGACTTGCCTGCTTTACAGAGTAAGTTCAAGGCCAGTCTGACCAAGTCAGTGAGACCATTGCAAAATTGAAAGCAAAAAGAGGCCTGGGGACTTGGCTCTAGGGTTGAATGCTTGCCCAACATTCCCAGGACCCTTGGTTCCCAAGCTCCAGTACAAGAGAATAAAAGTTCTTTGTGTGGCACCTGCTAATATTGATTGGAAGAATTGCCCAATCTGAGCTTCAAGTATTTCTCTGGGGAAATGCAGATGGTAATACATGCCTTATGCACATTGGAAGATTAGCACTGGTAATACACAATAGTTCCCAAACACTCACCCAGAGGCTTCACGCCATCCCTGAACCCTGGGCATTGCATGGCTTCTACGTCATCATGTATGTCTAGTGACAGCTCTTGCTACTGTCCCGAATGATCCTGTTGCATCTATATGTCCCATGAGAGCAGGTGCCGTTATTATACCTATTAAAACAAGCAACCCTGAGCTCTGACAAGGACAACTAACCAGAGGAAGAGCTGGGACTTGGGTGTAGGTATAGCTTTTTGGGGCTGCATGGCACTGCCTTCTGGAGATGGACATGAGTGAGCATTTCTTGGTGCTCTGTCTGCCTCTCGTCTTCCTGGCAAATACAGAAACTTTGCCTAAAGTGGGGGGTGTGGTGGGTGAAAGTGCTGTTCTGTGTTCTGTTGAACCCAAAATCAGAGAGTGATCAGTTCACCATGGGGTGGCACAAAGAGAGGAGGGGATTGGTGTGTTTCTTTAACATTGGGTTTGGAAGATATTTTCAGGCTGCTGGTAGTATGGCAGGCTGGTCTTGCAGAGTGCATGCGGCAGTGCATGCGGCAGTGCATGCGGCAGTGCATGCGGCAGTGCATGCTGGCATGTGAACAACGCTGGCATGGAAAAGTTAAAAGCATTTGGCACGGGAGAGAACTTCCCCAGCCTACAAGGATGTCTTTGGCCTTTGTGGAAAATTCAGGGAAGGCTTCTCAGAAGAGACAGCCTTTGAGTCTGGCCTCAAGTAGCATGCGAGTACTAGGCACTCAAGGCTGGCTAACCAGATGGAAGCTGAGTAAGAGGGCAGGTGGAGCTTGGTTAGGGGAGGAGACGGTCTCCGAGACAGAGCCTTGGGTGGGGGCAGTGGTAGGGCTGGGGAGGTAAACTGGAACTCAGCTCTAGCGTTGGTAAGCAAAGGACTCTCATAGACCAGCCATTCTCAGAATGTGGTCAGCACCACCTAAGCACTGGTTAGATTCACTAACTGGGACTCTAGACCCTAGGTCCTTAACCGACCCTCCAGGTGATTCTACGGCAGGCTGTCACTCAACAGCCACTTCCCGGCTGGAAAGGAGGCTCTGAGTTTGCTGAAGGGAAGTTAGTCTCCAAAATCCATAGGTAGAGGGATCTAAAGGCGGACATCTCCTCCCACGATCAGACGTGAAGGCTCAGTATAGATGTTGACCAAGTACATTTTTGCAGCACAGCCTAGATTCAGGCTTGGAAACTGTAGCCGCGTCTCTCAAACCGTGGCTTAATGAGATGCCTTTATCCTCAGAACCCCTTGTAAAATCACACTCAGAGCCCATTATGTAAAACTTACTAAAATCCAGGCATGGCGGCACACGTCTGTAACCCAGGCACTTGGGAGGTGGCGGTAGGAGGATTGTGAACTTGAGACCAGCCTCAGCTACATAGTGAGGGCCTTAAACATATTGGAAAAAAGAGGCTAGGGGTGTGACTCAGTTGGTACAGTGTTCACTCAGTGTGAATAAAGCCCTCAGTCCAATCTTCAGCATCATGTCTGTCGCACCTAGTGGCACAGACCTGTAATTACAACAAGAGTTAGAAGGACCAGAAGTCCAAGGTTATGCATGGCCTGGGCTATATGAGCTTCTGGGTTAGCAGAGGAACCTCTCCCCATAGCCTCTCTTCCCAGTGCAAACAATCGGGTCCACTCCCCTCACTGGGCACATTCTCTGCTCACCCTTGAAGAGGGGATGGGCAGGGCTGCCTCACCTACCCTCCACTGAGCTTCTCGCTGGTAGACTGAGTTCATGACACCCAGTGCCGCCTGGCTGATGGAGCTCAGCTGAAGCCCAGAAGCCTTTCTGCTGCGTCTCTAAGCCCAGAGGCCGGCCCTTTGGCGCCTGGCTCCTGGCGCCTGGCGCGGCTTCGCAGGAGCTCATTTATAACCCCTGCAAAGTGTACCCTGTCATCTAAGCCAAATAATCACTACTTGATGAGCAATTAGCTAAGACGGGCTAAAATGCTTTCCAGGGCTCGAAGATGAATTTCTTACTAATGGGAAATTCCTTGACACCTGCACCAGTCTGAGTCATAATTCAGGAAATGGCAGACCTTCACACACCCTTAAAACTCCGCAGACCAACACCTTCATGTTATCAGTGACACTGATCTGGGGGGGGATATGGCTCCCTCGTGGTCCACAGCACCAAGGCTTGGCAGACCCCCCATGCCTCCACCAACTCCTCCCACTGTGACTACTGCCCTCGTGAGTCCTCTTCAGGCAAGAAAGGCTGCAAATTGACTCCGTTTGGCCCTTTGCTCTCTCTTCCCCTTGTCCCTTTGTTGCATATTAAGGCGCACCTGACTCTGGCTTGCAGACAGGTCTCATTAAAATTATCGTCGGATTGCTGGAAATACAATATCCTTTGACGCAGTAGAAAGTACTTTTGTGGCCCAGGGAGGCGGCGGCAGAAGGGCGAGTTCAGCCGTCAGTGAGGGGTTGGGAGGAGGAAGCAAGTGGGAAGAGACTGGCGCGCTCTGCGCTCGCCGAAGCGTTTTCAACCCTCTCACCGTCTCCGTTTCTCAGGCAGTCACTTTCTTCGGGGTCACCCTCATTCAGCATGTTTACTATACAGAAAATCATTTAAATGTGTTAAATTAATTATATCCGCGACTCAATTGATTGATCGTGTGCAGTCTGCTGGGAGCTGGGCCTGGGTGTTGGAGAAGAAATTCCTTCTCTAAATGTCATCACAAAGATCCAGCTCAGCCTGTGGCCAAGCTCCATTTCTCCTGTGTCGAGGCCCCAGAAATGGCCATCTATGGCCCCGCTGCATGCGAACGACAGAGGCATGCTGCATCTGCATACCTCTGGCTTCTGGAGACGCAGTGCGGTATTCAGGAGTCAGGAGCCCCAGGATTCTTCCTCCCCTAGAACCTCCTCTGCTGGACACATGGGAGTGAATCCCAGGCTGGAGACCCCTTGCGTTGGTCTCAGAAGCTCACAGAGTGCTGCCCAGACAATTTTCTGAAAGTGGAAGGATCTTCGAGCACGATTTCCTCCCAAACTTGAGGCTCTTCCAGGAGCGGTGTTAAAATTCACAGTCTGAGCAAGGACACCACCACCAAATATGCCTGTCTGGATGAGGAGGGGTGATTCATGAGGTCTCAGCCCTACACAAAGAGCTACAGGCATCTAAGGAATGCTGGGAGTGGGAGACTTGGTCTTCCCCAGGGAAGAGCAACCCAATTGGTTCTATTGAGGTGGTTTGAATGAGAATGACGTCCATAGGCTCACGTATTTGAACACTTGGTCCCCAGTTAGTGGAATTGTTTGGGAAGGATTAGGAGCTGTGGCCTTGATGGAGAAGGTGTGTCACTATGGATGGCCTTTCAGGTCTCAAAAGCCCAGGACACTTCTAGTTGGTGTCCCCATGCCCCCTCTGTCTCATGCTCGTGTAGGGGACGCCCCAGCCAATCACCTTGCTTGTAGGGTGGAGGCAAAGAGCCCCGTGTTGGGCGCCAAAATGTTACGGCGTAAATGAACGGCAGACAGAAATAACAAAATATTCAGCTTTAATAAGGAAAAGACTTACAGAACTGAGGTTCCTGCTGAAGAACAGGAAAGCAGAAGAGAAGGCGGGGAGCACATCCACAATATTTATTAGTAAAAAATATCCTCAGGGGACCCGGCCCTACAATCAAGGTGATTGGCTGGGGCTTCCCCTACATGCTCGTGGGTCAGATGTAAGCTCTCAGCTACTGCCCCAGTGCCTTGCCTGCCTGCCTGTCATGCCCCCACCATGACTCTCACTCACTAATCCTCTGAAATCATGATCTCCAAATCAAACACTTTCTTTTATAAGTTTCCTTGGCCATGGTGTTCTGTCATGGTAATAGAAAAGTAACTAAGATAGTTACCCAATACCAAATGGCTGTGGCATGGGCAAGGCCTGTGAGACCTGAGAGAGCAGTGAGGGCCTGGCAGAGCCTAGAGGTTGCTTGTTGTGCAGCCAAGAGTGCCCAGAGTAGGTCAGGGTGTCGGATGTGGAACCTGGGCTAGATCTGGAGGGATGGGGAGGGTGATGGAGGGGATGATCAGGCAGACTGACAGGCAAGATCCTGGATAAGGATGTGTAATGTCTGACTGGGTAGACAGATGGATGTGGTATGAACAGGGTCTGGTGGGGGGGGAGGCTGGCTTAGCTCTGAATACACCCATAAAACTACCTTATACAAACTGAGCAGGTTGTAGTTATATTTAGGAATATAAGTTGTGTCACTTCAATTAAAGAAAAAAGAGGC